CACTTGCAAAAGCTTCCCCCAATGGCAGCGCCTTAGCGCTCTACCGCGAACGGTTGCGGACGGTTGCGGACGGTTGCGGACGGTTGCGGACGTAGAAACAACGGATCGCGAACAAGGCTCTACCCCCAGACCCCCAAGAGTTAAACGAGAACCCTTCGCTACGCATTCGGGAAAAAGAAGGCCACGGTTCATAAGATTGAGTCTCAGCAAGATGATGCACAGATTTCTTCTCTTGAAGAGCTTCGACTCATCTTAGGTTACAGCCAAAAACGCACGTCTAGTCTCCGTGAGTTGGTCTACTTTATGCTTCGTCTCTGAGGTGGAAGCATTCGTGCAAAGAGAAACTTTACTCGTTTGATCTCGTTTGTTTTGCTCTTTACCTTTACTCTTACAGTATACTTAAGATATTTGAATACATTTGTGGCCATTGAGAAGAAAGAAAACGTGCAGACTTGTCTGCACTAATCGACTCCTGATTTTCATTCCATCTCCAAGATGTTTTACTAGTTAACTCCTTGCGCCCGGCTATTGCGCCCTCGTGCTCTTGGGAGCTGCTTTAGCATCACATGTGTTGGGAGTTCTGTAAACAGACTGCAAAAGGCCCTCCCCAGATACTGATACCGAACGCATCCATAACGATCATGGTGTTAGTTGGACACAACTTGCCATTAGTTGCTTTCTGGCGTTGCTCTTATTTTGTCTATTGGGTATCACACATGTGGCCGGAATATAACCATTGGTTCTGAGGGAAGCAACCTCCTGCTTTTTTCTATATGTATTTATGTTTTTATATGTACAAGATACACACACCATCACTCTATCCTTTGATTCCAAGTTCAATCTCAGAACGTCACTCTTTCGCACGCATCCGATCCTTCCAAAACGGTACACCTCGGACGCGATCCTTGCAAAGCGGGGTCGGACGCATCCGATCCTTGCAAAATGGCCGCCAAACGATTGAACTCTTACGAGGGGTCTTACTCTCTCTTGCTCTCTCTTTCTGAACCCGTTCTTTGCGTTTCTTTGTGTCGTTTATCGATGTGAAATCTTACTGTAATTGATTATATATCATGCTTACCCTGGTAGATCCGTCTCTTTCCCACCGAGCTGACCGAGCTTAGCTCCGAAACAGGGCGGGAGCCCAAACCCAAAACGGCACCGGTGTGACATCCGAGTCAATCCGACCGGCACCCGGAACCCCGAGAGCAGGTCCTGCAGCGCAGCGGGGCCCAAGCCAAAGCGTGTTCGTCGACTCATGTTTGGTGAGATGTGGAACATGTTGGACCACAGTACAAATACATATATAGTATACAAATACATATTTAAATACAGTACAAATTAAGTGATCCGTGTTCTCTTTTTTCAACCTGTTGGAAAAAACCATCCGTGTGTCTTACACGTGTGCGCTATTTCTACACTCTCTTTCAAGCCCACACCACGCACGACATGGCACGAGCCCGGACTGCGGAAGTGTCCCAGACAGGGTTATGTGTCTGGGTTATGTGTTCAATATTGGTTGGACAATTGGTTTTTGTTTTGTAAAAATCCAATTGGGTTATGTGTCAGATACTTGGTTCCTTCTTCTACCCAATGGTTTGGAGGTTTTGTAAAAATCCCTCTGGCCTCTTCAGCAGCATTGGGATCCATCATCTCTGCCTCAGTCAGCTTTGCGTCTCTTGCAAAAGACTTGTTTGGAGCTGCACATCAAAACTGCAGCATCTCCAAAACTGGGCAAGTGACAAGCGCATGTCTTTTTGGCAATAGGCCTTTTTCTTTGGATTGAATCGTCCCGACCTCTGTCTACGCCAAGACAGCATGGTCTGACTGCGGCATTTGTTGACTGATCTGGGAGTCCCAGGCGTTCCAGCTACATATAGACACCTCCCAGGTGTTCCAGTTCGCCCCGGAACGAGCTCCCAGGCCCCAGGCCATTACACCCGTCTACCCAGCCAAGATCGACGATGTTTAGGGCCAAGCAGCAGCACGCCTGCGAAGGAAAGGTAGCAAGAAACCCAGCAAGTTTGCCCTGAGCGCTTGCGCATGCGCTTGCACATGCGCAAGCAGTTCGGTTGGAACATGCCAGCCTGCCAGCGCACTTTGAAAAGCTCATGGTTTCAATGCTGCTAGCTTGGGGAAAAAAAGGACAACACCGAAAAATCCAACGAAACGTTTGCCGCAGAGGCACTCCGAAAGGGCATGAAGTGTTTCCCGCTGAAATTTGTCAAACTTGGCCTTCGCCTTGGAGTCACGGCACGGGCCCCGGTTCACGGTTGCAGACATCAGTCATGGGACCGAGACGGAAACTCTCGTCACTCGTCTGACGAGAGGCATCCGATGTTCCATGAAAAATGGAGGAACATGATTGAACATGGGAGGGTTCTTCTGATTCTGGGGATCGTGATCTCGACTCTACCTCAGCTTCCTACAAGCAAGCTGAGCGATTGGTTGGTTGGGACCAGGTTCGAAAGGCGAAACGATGATTTTGGGGAAAACGACGGTCGCCCAGTCCGGTCGTCCATGTCGACATCGCCCGAAACGTCCGGTCGTCCAGGCAGAAGTCGTTGCCGCCGCCCGAAACCGCCCGTAGCACTGCCGTCCTTGTTCTACACGAAACGCGCATGTACAACGACTGGATGACGATGTTCCAGCAAAGGATGGTGGGTAGGTGGATGGGTGGGTGGGTGTTCCACTGAACCGGAAAAGAGTGCATCAATCGTCAGAACTGATGGGTGTTTTTTGAGTCCCTGAAGACCTCTCCGCCTCTGCCGTTCAAGTCACACGCTCGGTGTGAGTACAGTGGCAAAAGTCCTTGGTCCGCGACACTCGCGAGGACTCTTGCATCGAACATGGGGCAAAACGTACGATGTCTGAAACAAAAGACCCCAGAACCCACGATGTCTGAAAAAGGAGTCAGCTACATGATGCTGCATGTCTCTGGAGCAACACCATCTTTTCTGCTACTGTAGCTTTACCAGTTCCGAAGTGGAGTCCAAAGCAGAACCGGCCAGCAAAGAGACAGAGTTCCTTAGTGGTGTCTTCTCTTTTCCTATGCAAGTTGAGCATGAATCATGAATCATAATCATAAGCGTTCGCTCACAATCAAAGAAAGGTTGCTTGTGCCACCTTCTCATCATGTTTCTCTACCTGGCGTGGTGTTTTTCATCTTCTCTGTGCCCCTTATTAAACACACGACGCTAGATTTACGATAGTTTGCAACATGCGTCTTGACTCAATCTTGATTCTTTCCTAAAAGAAAATGCATCAAGTACACCATTCCCCTCTTTGCGACGAAGCGTCGCAAGTCGCGCCTTTGGGACACTCACCATATGCCCACAAGACGCAAGGCCTCCGACAAAAATCTGGATGCCCCACACTGCCAGCAGAAGGGAGAGTGGCCCGCTCCGGCAATGTATCATTCGTACCCGAAGCTGTTCCTTCCAGGCAAACGATGACAATCTTGAAACGTGAAAAAGGGATGACATTGACAAATAATGTTATCTAATTTAATGATAGATTATATGTCATTGGCATACGCCAAGTGAATGACCAAGGAACCTGATGTTCACACCAATGACCAACAACACCCTGATGTTCGCCGAACGCCTGTGGATTCGGATGATTCGGGCGGCGTCTTCGTGGTCGGCATGAAGGACAGAGCATCTGCGCGCTCTTCCAACGAGGCCACGTACTTCTCGGTCCTGGAGGTAGAACGACCAGTGAGCTTTCTGCTGTTTCGAGAGAAGTCGGTCGCTTTCTTCGGTTTCGGTCGGTCCTGGAGAGAGAGGGCGGTAGGCTCCTAACCGGCGGTAGGCTCCTGGCTCGTTGTTCCATCTTGCTCTCCTCCTGGCTGGCGTGAGGTGGTGCGGAATGATGAAAATCATGAAGTCCCTAACCCATACAGACTCACAGTAGTCACCGTGCGCCTATACAGACTCACAGTAGGCGAGAAAGAGCGCTAGCGCTCTGAGTCAGAAGTGAATTCTCTGGAATTTGGTGGGTGTCTGCGATGCGGCTTCGGGCGGGCTGCGCTGTCAAAGCTTGATCCAGATGGCATTGAAGACTTGAACCATTATATAACCATATTGAAGACCCCTCCGACTCAGTCGGGGCTCAAGATACAAGTTGTACTCAGACATGCATGCAACGAACGCATCACCTAGAGCCATCCAGCATCCTTCAACACACGAAGCCTCGGATCCGTCCTGCACACAAATGAACGTCCGAGCATACTTGAGCACAGCCATTGCTCCGCACGAATTGGCCTCTTGGAGAGATAGGAAACTGAGACACGTCTTTGGGGCCTTGAGCAATGACTGCGCCGAACAAGCGGAGGCCACGCTGTTTGACCTCCCTCCATTCCCCTCGCCCGTTCGATCGGTCCAAACGATGGATGGGTGGACCAAGCTCCGGTCCGGTCGTCCAGTCCGGTCCGGTCGTTGAGGGAGTCGGTCCAGCGTGGAACGGTGGGGGGGGTGTTTTCCGATTGACCTGCGGGATGGGTTTCCTCCGTACAAGGTCCAATTGACCTGCGTGAATCATAGATACAGTGGGTTCGGAGTAGATGACAAATGGCACAAGTTACCCCATCTTTGGTGGTTTATAATATGAACCCCCATCTGTCTATAGGACGTGTATAGGGGGTTGTGCCATCATGTGCCATCTACTCTGAAACCACTGTAGATCCTGAATGTCCTGTCGGACTTCCAAGATCTCGCAAACCTCTCACCAACTCCACTCAAAATCTTGCAGACCGCCCTACGTGAGTGGTCGAATCTTCTCGAAGTCGCCCCCAAATCGCTCGAAAAACATAACGTCTAACAAATTGTCCGACTGCGGGTTGCTCCCCTGTCTCACGGGCCCCCCAACCACAAATCATGTAGACTCTTGATTATAATGGTATTTCACGCCCCATAGTGGGGCGAGGATGTCCGATGAAAACACCAATGGGATGGCCTCCCAGCGAGTCGTCGGGATGTTCTGCGCTACGGGATTTGCCACACCTTCTCGGCTTGGCCCACGCCGTAGACGCCGAAGAGGCCGCTGTCGGCGTACCTGGCGATTCGCCCGTGTGGTCGCCCGTGTAACGTGAGAGCGAGCAGTGGAGAAAAAGGTGCCAAAAACCTCTTTGCGGATCCAAAAAGAAACTCAGACACGGCCCATGGGACTGCCATAGGACTGCCGATCAGTTGGGGTGGTGCCAGGGGGGTCAATGGGGCGGCAGTCCTATGGCAGTCCCATGGAGTGTCTGGGATAGATATGATGTTTAAGTCTTCCAAACATTTGTGCAAGACTGTATCTGACTGGACAGTGAATCCGGGAAATCATGGGGAATGACCTGTATAACTGGCGAATCTGGATGCCTGCGGCTCCGAAGGCGCTCCCTCCGAGAGGCATCAGCTATCTGGTCTATCCTAACTGATCTATCTTGATTCTTGATCTATCTGACTTCCCAGCAATGTCCTTATTATGGATCTTATACCCTAGAAGTCCAAAGACTAGACTATATTTTGACCGACTGATGTAAAGGATATTCCTAGACACGGGTCACCTAGTCAGACCATTCTTTTTATAGTCTTTGACTCCTGCGTCTGGGGTCAAAAGCCACGGGCGTTTTCCGAAGAACACACTCCTTCCAGATGCCAGTCCCATGGATACCCAAAAGCACCACATAGTAGGCAAAGATACCAGTCCCATGGAGAAATTTGGGGAAAAGGATCGCGCACGAGGTATTGAAGGCCATGCACGACTCGACGAAGGGGCTCTGCTTCACCACCTGCATGGCCAGGTGCTGAGCCCGTTCGGCCAGGTGTTCTGAGAGCATGGAGCCTTCTGCTCAAGGTAGGGGATGTTGCAGACATGTTGATGCATATTTTTGTCAGACAGTTATATAAATCTTGCAGCACTTGGATAAAGGAGAATTGATAACCCATGATCATCCACATGTTTTCGGAAGTGATGCAAGAAGCTCTGCTCAACAGCCTAGCAATGTTGGTGCCTAGAGATGTCTGAACATGTCCTCCTCGATTTCCGGAGGCAGAGATACAAGGTGTACTGACCATGTAGAGAGGATTGTTCAGCTACAGGAATGGTGTCGAACACTCCACCCCAGTCCCACCTTCTCAGAAGGTACGACTGGAGCCCTAGGGTCGGGGACCCCCAAAGATCTAAATGGGAAAATGAAAAACCGACTCACCTTCAGTGGCTGGGGAGTCTCTCGATTCTAGCTGTGAAGGTCCGGAAGCCCGTCGTCGGGAGAACGGACACCTGACACCACACAATGGTGGGATCGGGTCGCCAATCCTAAGAGCTCCTACATATTTCTATACTTGAGAGAGGAGGGGGTGAACGAAAGGTAGCAGGCAATCACAAGTAACCCTGGTAGAAGTCCACGACGGCGTGAACCGGCGCAGGGGGGATTTGACGAACAGAATCAACTCTTACAGGACCAAATTCAATGCACAATCCCAACTCCTGATTGTAATACATTTTTGCTAAAGCAAGGAGAACTCAGGTAGCTCAAGCTACCTTTCGTGATAAGAGTGGTAGGTAAGGCTCTAAGGAGTTTCCCGCTATTTCCCTCTCCTACAGGACTTAAAGGACTCAAGAAAAGCCACGTTCGAACAAAGGGTCACGATCTGGTCGCTAGCTGATGGCCTAATAACGCGATCAACCTCTGCGCCCTGCTGGGGGGCAAAAGCTTCTGTGCTTCTGTGGCCTTCTACCAGAACGTGGTCAAATCTGTGTCGTTTGGCCGGGTTCCGGCCCTGAAGTTCGATCCTAGAACACCTGGAGCCCATTCAACCCATCTGACACTCCCGAAAGCCAGCATGGACCCGGGTCGAATGGGACCCAGAAAGACTGGTTTCCTCTAGCACCAGTGGTTTTCAGGGCATGAGTTGAACCCACGGGGTCACTTTGACCACCCACCCATCCCAGCGTCCGTCCGCGATTCTCGGACCCCACGTCTGCGGCTGCGGCGGGAGGTCCCATCCGTTGGTGGCCGAGCGAAGTCCCGACGTCCCGTCCGTGGTGCGTCGGCTTGGGCGTCGCGACCGTCGCCTGGGTGGAGAGCCGCGAGGTCACACCGGAGCCGATGGTGCTGGTGGCCGCCGCTCCACCGCCCAGGAGCTCCTGGCGTTGTGCAACGCCCGAGGAGCCGTTTCATGGGAGGCGATGATCCCTTGGATCAAATGGCCTGCAGCAAGACCAGAGTTTCCTCGTGTTTTCATGAAATTACACCAGCATAGACCCAGATAGCTAGGCAGAATCCCACGACCTGTTGACATGCGACTGGCTGGAACAAGATGTACGCAGCCTGCACAGCCAGCTTACTGTCTCCACCACGTGCACAGCCAGCTCACAGCACCAGCACCGGCACCCGGCACAGCCAGCTCACAGCACCAGCACCAGCACCGGCACCCGGCACCAGCAACCTGCCTCCATCACGTGCACAGCCAAGCACCGGCACCCGGCACCAGCAACCTGTCTCCATCACGTGCACAGCCAGCTCACAGCACCAGCACCGGAACCCGGCACCCAGCACCAGCACCAGCAACCTGTCTCCACACGTGCACAGCCAGCTCACAGCACCGCCACCAGCACCGGCCCCCGGCACCCAGCACCAGCACCGGCACCCGGCACCAGCACCAGCAACCTGTCTCGAAAGCGCGCGGGCAACTCATTGTTATTTGAAGTAAGAACCCCATAGCTTCGCTATCTGGGGAAAAACGCAAGACCAGATGTAGTGCAAGACCATGCCCGATCATCATACTTGAAACCTTATTGTGTATATATGTTTGATTGTGTCCAAAATCCGGACTGAAGCAGGTCTTCTTGGTTCTATGTCATATGCACCGTTGGAGCAATTGACACCAAGCCGTCCCCATGAACAACGGAAACATGGAAGCTACACCATCCAAACGTTGGAGTATCCGGAGGCACCAGGTCGGTGCGTTCTCGACAAAGCTACACCATCAAGTCTCGTCACACGGAGAAAGCCACGGAAAAGGCTTGCTTGGCGATCGCAGAAAAGCAATGTCTGAGTCTGACTGCAAGTAGATGTGAAGTTCTGCATGTGTGAAGTAATTCCAGTGGCGAGCACACACACATGACTGCTCTTGATAAAGCCTGCTTGCTGCATGTTGGTGGAAGGCAGAAATCAAGAGCAAGAATTCGAATGCCAGAAGGTTTTCCGGGCTTCCATGAGCAACCATGTTCACTTCTCCTCTCCCATTTCAGAAGTCTCATTCCCAAACTCACTCCCATTCCCCCCACCGAACCGGGAGTTGAGTCACTCAGCACCTGGACACCAAACCCCCCCGAACTCGCGAGATCACCTGGATGAGGGCGACGGGCGCCAGCTCAGCATGCCCAAAGGCGCAGGACTGCAACCTGCGCAGCGTTCGCGCCCGTTTGCGCCCGCGGGTCGCCGCGTGGTTGAGGTGGGGTCAACTGGCCGCGTGGTTTTCGCATCGGATTGGAAGATGTACCGCCCTGAAATCGAAGTCCACTATAGCCCCCCAAGATGATCGGTCAATCTGTCAGTCCCTGACAGGTCGTTTGTGGTGTTGTTTTTGCGTTCGTCCCGCGCCCGGCGTTTTTGGTGCTTTGGGGGCCCTTGGGAGGAGGAGCTGCAAACGCGAGATTTTGCGGCATTTGGTTGGAAACGCAATTTGATTCAGAGTCTGCAAAGGGGAAAAGGTTTGGGGGGTTGTATGTGTGAGCATGTATGAGCAGGTGTATGTGTGTGGGGGATTGATATGTTGACCTTTCTCTTCTTGAAGGGAGAGTACCTGTTGTTTTTTGCTGTGTTATTGCTTTATAAAACTATTTTGGCTCCTTGTATCTATGGCTGGCGCGCCCGACATAAAGCTAGTTGGTGCCAGTTTCTTTGCAAGAAAGAAGGAGAGGCTGTCTAGGGTGATGACATCCAGGGGCTGCCATGGTGTTTTTGTTTGTGTGCGATCCATCTCAAGCAATAAACATGATTTTAGTGGTCCAAGCAGCTACAGTGAGTTGAGCTACCCCATGGCATGGGATGAATTTATGTGAGCTGCGGCCTGCTTCCTGGTGGACCATTTTTATACTAACAAGTGCCAATTAAATTAGAATGCCCTGCTGAACAATGTCCTGTGGATGTCATGGCCACGAAAGATTCCGCTTAAAAACACCCCGCAAAAAAACGCTGAGGCTGGAAGCCGGCGGCTTCCGCCCACCAGGCTACCCCAGAAACCAGCGGCTGCGCACTCTTGCGCGTGCACGAGTTGTTCACCCAACCCCAAAATTCTCGAATGCTGGGTGTGTGAGGATACACATCCCAAAGCTATTACACTCTGACTCGCTATCATGGAAGTGGATGGCATGGTCCCTTGGAAGACGACTTTCCTTTACGAACAGGGGGTGCCATCCACTTCCATGTGATGTGTTCGGAGTGTACCCCACTTGGAAACTCCGTGTTCCGACCATCGCCGGCGGGAGGTCCCGACCACACCGAAGATCCACCCGAGGTCCCATGAGCTGCCCGGCCCGAGCGCGAGGTGGCAGTAGGGGGACTTGCCCTCCATTCGCATGTCGCCACCGGTGTAGGTGGCCTGGAGCAGGAAGGTGGAACAAACCGGTGGAAAATCGGACCTTCGTTTTGAAGCGGAAGACGGCTCAAAGTATCTCGTTTGGATCTCGGTTGGACCAACATCTAGAACAACTGGGTCAGACCCCATCTTGTTCAGGCTTATCTGTTGCGAAGTGGATCTCTTTCAGCAGGACATTTTGGAATGCCAGACCATCGGAAAGAAATCCATTTCTGCAGCGAATTCTATGCGACCAGCGCGTTCTGTAGGGAGAACCGCACGCGTGTCGTTCCCTCACTGTGCTGGGAGGTGCATTGCTTTGGCTTCTAAGCTTACAGAACTCTCTGGCACATCATCGATGGGGCCCGTTCGTCCAGGAGAGCTGAAGCATCTCCACTTCGATATGGTTGATCCAGTAAGAGAATCCACGCAGAAAGGAATGCTGGAATGGCATGGCGGCTGAGTCAGCTGAATTGAAGATGTTTCAACCCTGTTTCTAAAAAGTCTCACAAAACTCAGCAGTGACGCGGCTGCAGTCAACGGGGAAAGGTTTGGGGGGATAGCATGTAAAAACCATGGAGGCAAAAAACAGCGGAAGGGTGGACCAGTGGAGTCATTGCGTTCGATGCAGGTACACAGTGGAGCCTCCTCCACCGCTTCAGCACCAACTGATACCCTCTTCATTGGACGGGCAGTATCAGTGGGGACCCGTCCCCCTGCTTCTTGGCGAAAGAACAAAGGTGAAAAGCGGGGCAAACGAATTCCTTGGGGACAGGTGGGGACACACACGCACACCAAAAAAACACACACAGTGGTATGACACCATAATCATTTGCACTTCCCCGGGTTTCGTCATTCGGCGGTCTTGTCTCCAGTGACTCATAAGCTTGGCTTCAACTGATCCAGAACGTGAGGAAGTTGAGGCATGTCGAGGCGCTGTCCACGCGTTTTTTGCGCCCAACACTGATGGTTGTTGGTGCAATCCAACCGGGTCATCCAGGGTGACCGGATTTCCAAAAGAACAACTTGTTGCTGTCCATGATCAAGAAGACCATGGACCATTCTCGTGTGGAATCTGCAAGCTGCACATGCCTGCACTACCTATATATATATATACATTGTCAATTAAACATAATATGTTATCTTTCCACAAATCCGGAAACGTTTGGATTTTCTCTATTTGGGTGCAATGCAGGTTACATCCTCACGGTTGTGCTGGTTCCGCGCAAATGTTTGGAGGGGAGCAGTGTGCTCAAAAAAGAAAATCTACACTCCATGTATGGAATACTTACATACATTGACCCCTTTTTCAACCACCCCAATGTATGTGTATATGGCAGTCCCAGACGGGTCGTGTCTGGGTATATATATATATTATATATATATACCCCCACACCGACAAAGCCGCTGGACCTGGAGGCTGGAATAAAAACCAGGCCTTGGTGTCCTCACGCTTCTTCATAGGGATGGCATTGTAATCTGCGAAAGAGCCTGATTGATGGATGGATCTGTGGACGGATTCGTTCGAAGGGGTTCAAGATGGTAACCTGTGATGAGTATGGCGGATTGGTGGACAATGTGTTCGATGAAATTAGCTCATCTGACAGATTGCCAAGTACAAACATCTTTCAAACACCATCTGAACATGGCCACCACATTGTGCGAGGTGTTTCTATGTTTTTTCTGGTATGTGCCAATCATGTGAAAAGAAAATGTCCCCCCAATCAACCCCTCGACTGCTCTAGCTGCTCTCGCTGCTCGCTGAGGCACGCATGACCCACTTGGTGAGCTCCGCATGCTGCACGTTCACCCCCACGAAGACCATGCGCTCCGGGGCGAAATGATCCAAGAGGTAGCCCCGCACAGTCTCTGGTGTGAAATAGCCCATAGACCTGGAGGTCTATCGAGCCCGAGAGTAGGAGTGGCTTGGAGTGTTTCTTTTGGTAGGACCCGTGGGTTTAGGACTTGGAGTTGGAGAAACTTACTTGGAGGTTTGTTTTCCAAAGAACAGTGTTTTCATGTGGAAAAGACCTCTCAAAAGTTGAATCTCATTCATTCTGAGTGCCTTTTTTTGAGTGGGCACTCGGAAAGAACTCTCTAAGGCAGCAAAAAGAGTCTCTGGGTCGAAACCAGAGGCTCCGCCAATGATCCTCCTTTCCCAAACAATGGATGTCTAGAATATTTGCCTACAGGATGCCTACATGGTTGTCCAGGTCAATGTAGGTTTAAAAAAATGTTTTAAGTTAAAAGACATCAAGGTCCCATGGAGAGTGTGAGTTAGATTCTACTAGTCGCTCCTCCACAGAAAACTGATCACCACTACCTACTACCTAACTGGGGCGCCTCCTGCGTGTCTTCTTCGGCCCTGTTTTTACTTGCTATCAAGTTGTCCTCTAAGACGTGCGGTTCGTAACGGTGGGTTGGCCATTGAACTGATTCCAACGAATCGGGCCAAAGAATACCAAAGAGTCAAATAGTCCATACATGTCCTTGCCTGCCATGAATCTGTGGGCGGATGCTTTTCTGGAGGGAAACATTAGAAGATTCCTCCAAGACAGAAACCCATTGCAGTCTTTGGTGCACACACTCCACTGCTCTGCATTTCCCTCCCCAGCTGAATTGCGTAGAACAAAAACGCGGCTCTTGCGCTAACTGATGGCACTGGCATGTTCTAAGCTTGTCAGGGCCAATGATAATATTCTTGAAAATGAAGGACCCCATAAACATCGCAACAACCACCACCAAAAACACTGTTTTCCATCGCTTGACAGATCAAAAGGAAACAGAACCCAGTATGGGTTCATTCGGTGTCTTTTGGGGGGAACACCGAGAGATTTCTCTATCGACCTCAGGTCGCCCAACAGACAGTCACCATTCAGGTCGCGGACGTGTCGTTGGTGGTGCCTTCTTTTCAGGTCCCAAAACCCTTCAGAATCCACCGGTCCTTGTCCTTCGCGTCCAATCCTTCGCGTTCACCCGGGGTGAACGGACTGTTGGGTGACAAATCATGAAACCGTCGGTGGCAGTTTCATGTGGATGGTTCCTGAAAAGATCATAGTCGTCTACAAACAGAGGGTTGGATGTCCTCTGCACGAAACCATGGGCAATTTTCCGGGAGTGGCAAGAAATATCCTCCACCCAGCAAGCTTGGGGACGGATGTGATTCTTTCGCTACTGTGGACTGCAGGTTTTTTTGCTGCAGGCTGGGTCGTGCAATCTGCAGCCACTCCAGCAATGGATGGACACAGCCTTCAGACGGCGAGGCTCTCCCGCCTCTCGCTCATCAGTGGGCTTCGGCCCAGGGTGTTGTTGCAGTAAGCCGCCTGCGTTAGGACACATTTAGGACAAAAAGACGCCAAAAATACACCGGAGATTTGGGGCCCAACTCTGCAAGATACTCTGCTTCACATTGCTTCACTACCTCACCGCTCTCATTTGGTACAAACTGCTGGAACGCCCCTCGGACGAAAGTGGTCGCACACCATGAATGTTTGAGTCTTCGCTCTGACCAACCAGGCCGTTCCAGTCTGAAGAATCACTGTGCGGGGCAAGAAGCTATTGGTAGCTCCTGGCCTTACTACTACGAGCATTCTTGCTACTACGAGCCCTTTGGGGAGTGCATTTTAAGAGAGAGCGCTTCCTGGAGACTGTTCCGGCCCTGGCCGGGTAGACTGCCTACTGGTCTATGGTCTATGTTCCGAAGCTTCCAGGGGTCGGAAGGCCTAGGCTTAGGACTGGGAGGTCTCCCGCGAGTGGGTAGAAGTGCAGGACAAAAATCTTGCCCAGCAATCCACAATAAGAACTACTGCTACTGTCACTGTTCACAACTGCTACTGCTCTGTTCCTCCTCATCTTACTACTGCTACCACTCCTACTGCTGCTCCTCCTCCTACTGCTTAACTATTTACTTACATACTTGCTTACTTACTTTCTTTCTATTCTTACTTACTTACTAACTTACTAACTTACTAACTACTAGCTACCTACTAAGTTACTACCTACTACCTACTACTACTACCTACTACTACCTACTACTACCTACTACTACTACTACTACTACTACTACTACTACTACTACTACTACTACTACTACTACTCCTACTCCTACTGCTCCTGCTCCTGCTCCTGCTCCTGCTCCTGCTCCTGCTCCTGCTCCTGCTACTACGCCCGCATGCAACACCCACATCGTCATGCCGCCCCATCACGCAACGTCTGACCTTGTGAAGCAGCTCACTCACCATGCTGTCGGGGTTGGACATCAGCGCCTCACCCCGCGTCACGGCGGTCCAAAGGAAGTCGACCATTAGGACCGTTGTCACGTCAGGCGGGGATTGAATGAGATGGGAGAATTGCTTTTATTGAAGAAACATGTCAAATCCTGCAAACCAAAACGATTGGATATGCCTGGAATGCCTGGATCAGATTGCCGCCACCTTCGTGGCGTCACGCGGGTCATTCAGCACACCTTCGCTCTGTTGTGGGTCGTGCCTCCTTGTCGGTCTTCACATCTCCCTGTGCCGATTTCACTTCCCAAGGCCTCAATGTCCGCCGGACAAACGCTCACCGCATGACTTCGAGCTGGGAGCCTGGCAAAAAAAGAACATCGTATACGTTCTAAAATCCACCATGTTTAACAATGTTTAAACATGTTCGAGAATGATCTCTCTCCAAATCCAGCGAAGCCCTCCCGGGCGGTAAACACAAACCTTAGGCACCGATTGGACCAAATGTTCACAGCTGGGCTGCAACATGCGAGGGAAGATCACATTGCCCACCATCAAAGGCACCACATACGGCAGCATCTCCCGCTGCACATCCACCTGCGTGGTGCAGCAGGGCAGCTGCAGCACCAGGCTGCAAGATGTCATGATGAAACTCCCAAACATTCCATGAGACTGGCATATTGACCTTCTATTGACCTTCATTGGACCTTCATTGGGGTGGTTTCAAGGGTCAATGTATCTACATCTGCCATACATGGAGTGTCTGGGGACTTGCACAACCAAGATGTTGGCAGGGTGGTCACAGGAGGGGCACACTGAATAAGAAAACATAAGAAAACTGTTATGGTTGAACACGAGTTTCCCTCCTGTACTGCAAACATCCAGTACACAGTCTACCTCCAACCTCAAGCAATCCCTCAACAGTACGCCATGGTACACCTTTTTCCACACCGGTCTTTTTCACCGTTGGCAAACCCGCGTATACAACGGACCATGTCATGACCCACGACGTGAATATCGTCTTCACGTCGATCAGATGTTCGAAGCGCCAGCGAACGCACGTCGCCTGATAGAGGATCTCCTCTCTGCCGCTCTTGGCGGAGGCCGACTGATCGGCGCCCATCTGCTCCAAGGTTTTCACCGTCCTGTGGTGTTCCGCGGCGGTGACACCGGCGGGAGGTCGCCAAGGAGACGGCGGTCGCGGAGACGGCTCGGTGCTCTGGGCAAGGTGGGCCAGGTAGCCAAGCAGTTTTGAAGGGAGGGGGAGGAACAAACACTTAGGAGAGTCTATGGGCTTGGATTGGTTGTGCCATCATGTGCCAACTGAAATGGCTGTAATTAGATGAACTGTAATGACTCCTGGGCCGAGCGATGTTGTCGTCCATAGAAGTGTCATGAAGTGTCCTGCTTGGTGAGATCGAAAACTGTTGATGATCGTTCTCTAGTACTGAGGGCCCTGAATGCAAAACATTCTACAGCGAACCAACGATCTAGATTGAGCACCTGCCAGCAAACCTTTCCAAAGCAGTTGGCTCAGTACCTGAAAGCCCAAGTTAGACCCAGCCCCAAGAGCCCCAAGGGCCCCTTGCCTGAGGTGACTGAGATGGGCTGTGGACCGGAAGCCCATCAATGCGGCCATGTGTGCTGCGCCCAAGTTGGCGGAGGTCTCGAACCGTGAGCCCGCATGGACGTAGAGACCTCCGGCAAGATCGGACGGGTGGCGATTGGACATGATCACACCCATCGATTGGACGTTTTTCTCGGTGGGACAAGTGGGGTTCAAGGAGGCGGTGCAGCGTTCGGAACATGTTGTGCCTGAATCCAAACCAAAACAGTGAGACTGCCATCGGTCATGCCGAAATAAATGCCCGTCAAGGACATTTGAGGCCCGAACCGTTCATGCCAAACCACCACTGCAAGGTAGCTGATTTCTTGACCCAACGCCATATACCCCCTTTTCTCAGCAGCTTCTCCCCAATCTCCATTCTTCTCACTGTCCCTGCATCTCTTGGATGCCACAACCAAATAAAATCCAAATCACTTCAACCCCCAAAAAAACACCCCAAAAACCCCGCTCTCCGAACTGCGCTTCTTCACCAACCGCGGCCGTTTCCCTCCCTCCTCCCACCAAACAACCACCTCCCTGCCGCACGGACACCGCGTCCCGACCAAAGAGTACACCGCGGACCCGTCTGTCTGGTCCTTTGCGGTGCGGGCGTGCCGCGAGTACGGTGCATCCGAGACGCCGAGGCGGGCGGTCAGGCCCTGCTTGTCCACCGAGGCAATCTTGATGCCTCGGTCGTGTCGTTGGTGTCGTGACGTACGGCGTAGTACGGGTGTGGAGCGGGAGCGGGAGAGAGGGAGAGGAGAGCAGGGGGAGAAGGAAGTTATGGGGGACTATAGAGTGGTACTTGGACTGGGCGTCATACAGTAGAACCATCAGAGAGCGGACGAGGAAAATGCGATGGTGTTCTGAATGAGTTCGGAGTCGGAACATGGGAAGAAATTGAAGACATAAGTTACCATCGTGTTATTTCTGTGAATCTCCAGATTTCCAGACGCTCCTATTCCAACATGTTTAAAAACATCACGTTCGGCACATCAGAACACCCACCCGGGCGCCTGCGCAGTCACCAAGGAAGTGAAATCCTTTTGGGAATCACCTACGGACCATGGATACACCTAGGACCTATGGTACCCGTAGTGGGATCCCATAGGGATTCCCATGGATCACACTACAGGTACTACGGGCACCACCATGGATCCCCAAGGAAGTGAAGTCCCCACCCAGGGATCAGCTTGGCACCATCTCACTACGAGTCCATCTCCACCAGGATTCCGGTCCCTGGATACAAGTGCGGCTCCCTTGGCTGTTTTTCGAAGCGAATGGCTGGTTTTCGACTCATCCCCATCTGAGTCTCTCTTCATCACAAGCTAGTAGTAGTAGTAGTAGTAGTAGTAGTAGTAGTAGTAGTGTAGTAGTAGTAGTAGTAGTAGTAGTAGTAGTAGTAGTAGTAGTAGTAGTAGTAGTAGTAGTAGTAGTAGTAGTAGTAGTAGT